GCTTATTTCCCGATTAAAAGCTCTGATTCTGAACAGGCCAAAATGACTTGCCAATGAAACAACTGAAGTTTCATTTTTTTTTTTTACACCGGTGTAGCGGTCACAACGGAACGTTCTCGTGTGCACAAAGAAAAAGTATTACGATACTTCGGGATTTTCCAGACATAAAAATAACAATCTTCAGTCTTGGCCAAGACTCAGTAAGTCTTACCACTCTCTGGTCTTACCCAAGACTTAGTAAGACAAGACGGGACAACTCTTCTTTACGTCATGTGACAAGCGCAGGCCCCTCCCACTTTGCCAAATGCGCGTATAACTCGCTGGGCTTGCGATAGTTTACTTTGGTTAGAATGCAAGGCTACTGATCATCTCGGGCGGTATGTCTAGCCTAGGCCTACTAAAATTAATATATTTTAGCCCAGAGAGAGTATTTAATTAATAAACGTAGCCTATCTAGATCTAGATCTAGAAACTAGGATCTAGATCTAGATTCAGATTCTAGAATCTAGATATATCTAAATCTAGATCTATATCTATATCTAGATCTAGATTCTAGTTCTAGAATCTAGGTCTAGATTTTGTTGTGCAACCAGCCAAGAGTGCAGTTCGGAAAGTAGATCTATAATCTAGCTCTAATCTAGATCTAGATCTAGATTTAGATTCTAGATCTAGGCCCCTAGTCCTAGTGGTTGGCGAATGACCGAAGTGTCCGAAGGGCGACTCTTGACTAGGCTAGGCCTAGGCTACGTCCCTGTAAATTGGCGGAGACACACTAGATCTATCATGCAACTTGATTCATACTATCATATCAACAGTAGATGTAGATCTAGAAATCTAGATCTACTTAAGCTTCTGTGCTTGTTTCAATGGCTTCTTTTTCGGTGCACCTGTACAATTATATGGTCCCGTTTAATGTTTACATGACGGCCATTATTGTCATGAGGCAGTGAATCTAGAATCTAGATCTAGATTTCTAGATATCTAGATCTAGATATCTAGATCTAAAATCTAGATTAGATCTAGATCTATAATTTTAATTCAGTTTAGATATGGAATCTAGATCTAGATCTATATACATGTATCTAAAATCTAGGCCTAGATCTAGATCTAAATAAGAAACATCGGGCACTTAGGCCTTGCGTGATTTAGTGCAAACGGGACCGCTATTGTACATGAGTGCTATTAAATTGTTTCTTAACTTCAGTTCATGATAATTGATTCTGAAATTGGGGAACAGCTCGCTGTGTAGGCCTAGTTAATCTAGATCTAGATCTAGAGTCTAGACTCTAGACAGGGGCGGACTGGGTCTTAAAACTGGCCCGGGCATTTGTCATCCGTACCGGCCTACTAAAGCCTAGTAAAACACGCAAAGCCAACATGTTTCTAAGCCTCCAAACTATTGTTGTGTTACTATTTAGAGCACAGAAACAGACGAAAACACCCATGTTGTATTTGTGTGTGTTTGGGTGTGTGCATATGTGCGCGCGCATATTTGTGTGTGTAAGCAACTTTGTAATATACAACATACATGTTGTACAACAAAATCAAAACAACATTAGCACAAGAACTCAGCCCAGAGCATACCTAAGAGAGTAGATGCCTGCGAAGTTCTTTGCTTATATTCGGCCACAGCATCAATGATGTCTTCATTGTCCAGTTTGGTCAAGATCTCCTTTTCCACTGACATCAGTATAAATGCCTCAAGATGTTCTGGTGTCATTGTGAGACAGGTTTTGATTCTCTTCAGGGCTGAAAACGACCGTTCGCATGCAACCTGCGACACAGGTAGGGTTAGTAGTAGCTTGTAAGCAACCCCAATGCCTTTGTAAGCATCGGTGAAGAGGTTCAACTTGAGTAGCACCTTGTAACAGCAGAGAGGGCAAACCTTGCATAAGATACATGTAACAGTGGAACTCGAAACATTTTGAGTGCTCAATTCTGATTCACAGTCAATATCGCTGTCTTTCCCCTCATAGTGGTCTGCAACTGACTGCTTCAGTGATTTCCATCGTTCTCCAAGGCTTGGCAATTCTGTTCGCAACCCTTTAGCGGTGACGCTGTCGTCAAATCTCAGTAAATACTTTTGCAGCTCTTCCATAGCCTCTGGTGGGACTTCACCACAGTTTCTTGGATGAAGAAGGGACAGGTCAGCAACCAATCTAGGTGCTGCAGATCCTTTAAATCTTTGTTCAATTCTGTTAACAAGGGTGTCTTCAATTCGATTGTACACTTCAACACGATATTTCTTCATTGGGTCAGCTGTTGATGTAGCTTTGTCCTTACAGAATTCATCATCCATTCGCCTGCGTCGTCTTTGCCGTTTCAAGGAAAGCGACTCTTCCATGAACGAATCTGACCCGCTCTCCCCCAGTGCATCATTCACCCACTGAACAAACTTTGCAGCTGCATTTTGAGAAGCTTCGAAGTCCACCCTGAGGGCCTACGTGTTTGACAGCAACTCCGGAAAGTATATATATATATATATATATATATAGTCAAAAGGTCCAGTTGCAAGGTTTGCAGATACTTAGATAGGGCTGTTGCGTGTGAAAATATTTGCAGATACACTTGCGCTGTGAGAACTGTTTCAAACTTGAGTAGAGCATCAATGTATCCTCTTACTTTAGCTTTAACGACTGATTGGGTGTTGTCAGCAACAAGTATAGCGTTGAGGCTGGTGATCACTTCAACAAACAGAGCTTCGGGTGGATTGTTGAAAGAACCAAACACCTTCCTTAATAAAGGCAGTATCTTTTGACCACCATCTGGTCTCACCAATGGTTCACAGACGCTTCATAGTTGTCGAGTGCCTACTGAAGATGTTCTTCCGCTGACAAGACTCCCAAAAGAACACCGCAATGTCCTTAATCAATGTATCAATGCACTGTTCGCTTCAGCACTTGTGGCCTCCGAAACAACAAGATTCAATTCATGACCGTGGAACCAAACATGGATCTGCATTGTAGCTTTGTTTGAAAGCAGAGTACTGAAACCTCTATGCATGTTTGCTGCACCGTCAGTTGCATTCCCAACGCATTGTTTGAGGTCAAGATTCAACCCTTGCATAACTTCCGAAACAATATGCACAAAAGCTTCGCCAGTAGTTTCTTCGCACTTCACAATGCTCACCAGTCTTTCTTGAATGTTGCCAGTTTTATCCACATATCGAATGACACTGAAGCATTGGTCCTGCGTTGTGTCAATTTCCGCAGCAAACATGTCTGTTATGTCTTCCGAAATGAAGTAACGGATCATATCCCGTATAACCGTGATGATAGAATCCACAGTAGTTCTGGACAAAAAAGTAACAAATGAGCCTTTGCCTTTCGAACTGTTTGCCTTCTCATTTTTTGTCTTGCTGTTATGGACTAACCAAGAGAGGTGATCAGCTGTGAATGAATCGTATTTGCGTAGCAACGTAACAATTTCCAGGAAAGTACCATGGTCAATTTCCTCATTGTCCAAAGTGTAGACTGCCTCTTCCGTACTTCCTCTGTAGCTTAGTCCTCTCTTACCTATGAGTTTAACTACATCCACAACTCCATTAATCACTTGCTGTTTCTTTCTGACTTCATCACAGTAGTCCTTCGCCAACATGTGAGACATGCTTGATTGTTTTTTATCAACCAGGTATGCTGTTGAGAATTGCTGATGCAAAGACGAACGTTAATGCTGTTCCATACGAGAATGTACATGCCGCCAGTCTTTCATTCCCTCAAGAAATGCGGATGTCTGAAGTGGCAGAAAACACCAAGCAGACAGAACAGAGAAGTGCATGGGAGTCTTTGTTGTAACACAGCCACCATCTGTCTTCATGAATGAAACATCTTTGCACCACTCGATTATCTTTCTTCTGACATGGATGGTGATTCCAAAACAACAACCTTTCTTCTTCTGTGCATGGTTTCTGAAAGTAGTCAATCCTGAAATCTTCACTTCCTGTGGCTTCAAGTTCAATATGTGCAGTCTGTTCTGTGCTAGCCAGGGACAAAGTTTCCCTTTCACTTGTTGATTTAATATTTCTCATTTCACCTGATGATGGTCCAGCTTCACTTACCGATAGATCAGCAGCAACTGCCAATCCACTACTTTCGTCAACTTGGTAAAAATCCGTTGTTTCAACTGCTGAAGGTCCAGCTGCATGTGCTGTTTGCCACATTTTCACCGATTACAGGTCCCTTTGCATCAGCACTTTTAAACAATGGCAGAATATTTCGGCATTTTGATGCACTTTCAGACAGTTTCTTTTTCTTTCGTTCGCGTTCCTTCTCCTCATCTCCTTTCTTCTTTTGTGGTTTGACATATATTCGATTACCACTTATCCATTCAGGCCTACAAAGGAAGAAAAAGGAGTGGATCCACTGGTCTTATAAACACAGTAATCTGAAGACAATTTTTCAAAACCAAGCGCCCACTTTGTCCTTTCAACACCGGCCAACCTTTTCCCTTCGGCACCGGCCCACTTTGTCCCTTCGGCACCGGCCCAGGGGGCATTGCCCAAATGCCTATAGGCCAGTCCGCCCCTGACTCTAGATCCTGCTTGAATAGCTTCAAACAGTCCCACAGCTTCTGACCGGGCGTACAAGCAGAAGGAAATATTATATGGCTTTAGAAAGCCTTCACTTTTGTTGGGCAATTATAGATTCTAGATTCTCCTTTTTCTCAAAGTCTTAGAATAGCCCCATATGACTGGAGACACTTTCCCAAGAAAGTACCCACTGCTGTATGTGACAACATTTTCAAACTGCACCAGGTAATCTACTTTCAGTGACTTGATGAGGTTAGTCATTGGTGGCTGCTCCTCTTTTTGGACTTTATATTATGAGCACACATAGGTGGTGCAATGTTTGAGTTATGGCCTAACTACCTGGAAGCAAAACTGAAAGGAAGTGGTCAATGTCATCTTTAAAGTTCATACCAGGACTGGTCAGAGGACTTTATTTATCATTATTAGGCAAAAAGTATGTGCAAAAATCGTGGGGGTAGGGGCAGGATTGTCTCTAGTGATTGCTTTTTTCCTTTGATAGCTGCAAAAAGGTTTACAGATTTGGCATGTTGCTGAATAAATACTTACCACCACCCTTTCAGTTTTCTTGACCAGAATCAAAAGGGCTTGAATTATTTGTATCCAGTCTTTATTAATGCTAGGTAGGGTTTTTGGTGTGTTTTTTCTGTTTGTTTGTTTGTTTTATTTTATTTTATTTTATTTTTTTTGGTGTGGGGGGTTCATTGCCATATAGTGGGCTCCCTAACTCCACCCCCACTGCAAATTTTAGTAGGAACATGCCACTTGGCACACATGTACCTTGAACAAAACTAAGAATTTTGATAAACGGACACAAGCTCTATCTGCATAATTTCACTCTAATTTGCATAAATTAAAAATGGCCACCATTGAAAAATCAAGCAAAATGAAAATAACTCTAAATTATCATACACATCTTCGATTTCCATGAAAATGGTGTCAAAATATATGTTTTTGGGGATGCCTTAACCATTGAAATCAAAATTTGGGATGTAAAAAGTGAGGTTTTTTATTTATTCAATATGTTAGTCACACGATGTGATTATGAAGTATCTACATTTTGCATATTTCAAATTGACAAGCTTGGACCTCCGCTTTCACCAGTCACCCCATTGATGATGCTTCCCCTTTTTAGGGAATCAGCTCACAGTCCAATGATGGTATTCCATGGGATGAACATTGTTGCTGCTGTTGCAAAGCACCTGAATTCAGGACAGACCCCGGTCATAGTTGCTGATCTGGAAAGAAGATTCCATGGAAATTTTCAGATGTCTTGGGAGAGGACAAGTTTGTGGTGATGCTTGGGGCACTGCACACTGAGAAAATGCTGTTTGAAGGGCCTAGGGGAGTGGCTGGAAGGGAGTGAATGGACATCACTTCTGTCAGTCAGTGGTGTGGCTTCAAGTGGAGTTGCTGATTCTATGATGTAGGTGACACATCTGACCAGCACTCGCTACATGCACCAAGTCACAGCTCTTGCTTTGTTTACTGAGACAAACCCATCGTGAATACCTGACAACAACTATTGAAGATGAGCCATTGGAACTGGGTGCTTGGATTAGGTATCAGCGGGACCGAGAACCGCAATTCTTGTACTGGCACCAGACTCTTGAGCTGCAGCTGATGGTTCTGCAGTTTGTGAAGTTGATTCGGACTGCATCGTTTGATCTGTACTTAGTGACTTTAGAACATCTCATGCCATGGGTGTTTGCTCTTGATCACAACACTATGTCCACAATCTACCAATTCATCTACGAGATATGTGTGACCTTCGAGAAATACATCCAACAGTTCATAAAGAGTTCATGAAGGGAAAATTCGTTGGACAGAAGATAAGTCGTGCATTTTCTAGCATTGCCTTGGACCAAATTCATGAGCAGCTCATCGGTTCTCTGAAGGATGATGGAGGAATAATTATTAGACTGACTGAGGATCCTGTAGCCCTTGGAAGATTTATGATTACTGGACCAGAACTTGCTCGCATCATCAAGGAGTTCGAAAACACAGCTTAAAACAGTCACAGGAAGCACCATGAACAGTTTCCTAAATGTCGAGATACTTTCAGAGAAGATGTGAATGGCTTAATCAGTGCATTCTCTGATGTGGGAAATCCTTTCCTTGAAATATCTGGGCAATTGATTTCTCTTGACAGGTCCAGAATCATGACAGGTGATGTTATGAGCTCAGTGAGAAACATCACAAAAATTTGAAAAGACAAGTATGATACATTGTTTTCAGAAAGGGTTTCATCCAGCACATCGCCATGGACCTCCACCTTTCACGTGAATAGATTGTCTCTTTTTGGTGTAAAAGCCCAACAATGTAAAGAAAAATCCGACCTTGCTTCCATGAAGGAAGAACGAACCCAGTTTATTCAAATGATGCTCTCTGTGCACTCATGGAGGGACATTGGTGAAGAAATGTTTGCACATGAGAACACTACATTACCACTATCTCTCAGTTCCCAGGGTCAGATGCACAAAGGAACTAAATCTGAAATTCTCAAGTACCTCGAAGGTGATATTGAGATTCTACTTCTGATACTTCCCCTAATTCTGATGTTGTTATTCTAGATAGAGCCTTCATCGTGCAATCACTGAGACCTGGTACAGCATCAACATTTCAGGATTATGCAGACCAGGTGTTTCTTCCATACTGTGATGTCATGGCTAAAGGGTGCGTCGTGGGATGCCTACAAACACGATAGTCTCAAATCCAGCACTCGCGAAACCAGAGGCAGTGGCATGCGGTGTCAAGTGACATCATCAACCAAAGTAGCGAGTAACTGGCAAGGATTTTTACGGGTCGATGAGAACAAAACAGAACTGTTTTCTCTGTTGGCAGAGAACATGTAAGAGATGTACACAGAGGGCAAGCAAGTTGTTACAACCTTCGGAGAGAATGTTCTCACTTCAACTGTTCGCTCAAATACTCGCGCTTTAGCATCTTGTATTCACGAGGAAGCTGATTCAAGGATTTTTTCCATGTTGCAGATGCGACACATGAAGGATTTAAACACATCACCATTCGTGCTGGTGACAGTGATGTGGTGATAATAGCTGTGTCCTGTTTCCAAGGGCATTTTAAGGAAAAGGCAAAAGAACAGCATGGACTGTTTGGCAGGAATTCCCAGAACTCACTGCAGCACTTCAGCGCCTGTCAACATTCCCTAGTAGAATCGATGATGATGTCATGTCCTATGTAGAGGCATTCATCGTTCGCCTTTACGACAGGTCCTTGGACATCACATGCAGCACGCATGGAATTGTTCTACACGTACTACAAAGGCAGGCATTTTGAAAACTTGCTACCTACAAAGGATGCATTGCCACAACACATATTACACGCAGCATATCAGGCAGGCCACATCTGGGACAAAGCCCTCATCTGTTCTCCAACCTGGCCTGACCCATATGAATGGGGATGGGTCATGACAAATGACAAGTGGTTACCTCGATGGACAACACTTGCCCCTATTACAAAGAACCACAAATGCCTCGTGACATGTCAGTGCAAGAAAGTGTGCAAGCCTCCATGCAAATGTTGGCTGGTGTGAAATGAAGTACTCTCTGTGCATGCAGGGGAGCTTGTTTCAATCAAGGAAAATAATGTGTACATATCAGTAAACATAACGCATTGGTTATTAAAAGAATAGGCAAAATATTGGTGAACCTGGCCTGCTAAAGGGATTTTAAATTACAAAAACAAAACCACGTGTGTAGTCCTAGCATCTTCCCAAAATTATGATTGTGCGTCATTTAAAAAAAATTTTCAAGGCGGCCATTTTTAATGTATGCAAATTAAGAATCAATTTGACCTTTTATGATAATTCTTAGAGTGTCATTGAGTTTGTCAGCCTGAACTTACTAAGAAACAAAACAACACATTGATATTTTTATCATTCTTCTGTCAAAATGTATATTCGGTTCGTATTTTCATTATACTTCAGTGGCGGCCATTTTTCATTTATGCAGGTTAAGAGTGAATTTGACCTTTTATTATAACTTTGATGGTGTCTTTGAGTTTGCCAGCCATATATTTATATGAAACAACACCAAAATTAATGTTCTACCATTTGTCT